TTGCCTATGTGAAAACAGTGACGTTGCCTGAACAACAACATTAAAAACTTAAATACTGGCGGCTGAATGGAAAGACATTGGAGACACTATAGGCTTTGTTAATGTGCCGATCGCCACATCCACGTAATCTTCTGGAAGTCGGCAGGCTGGCTGACTTTTAATGGTTCAGAAAGTGAAGCTCAGGTGCAGTTTGTCGACGTGGCCAGAGGAAGCCGATTTCTGATATCTGAACAGCTGCCAATCGCGCTCGCGGTGAGTGCAGCTGGAACCTGTTGTGGCGCCGGCATGCCCCGATTCTCTCAGAGATTGTAATAGCAGTGACACAGCGGGGCAAGAAGTACCTGGCAGGTGTTCTCTCCTTCGTATACCTGGACTGTGCTCGTAATCACACTCTCGAAACACAACTCTATACCCTGAATATATATGTATGGCACGTCATGTAACCGGCATCTATGTTTTTTTTTTCGTTTACAATGTGCAATAATTACAATATCGGAAACCTAAACACAACGACGTACGAGTCTCAGCCAGTATCGTTTTCGTTCGTGCAATTGTTTTTAATATTCTGTTACTGGTTTGAATTCTTGCTATTTTGATCATACTCAGCTATTTACATCGTATACTGACGCACCTTGCGGTGAGTTCTCGACTCCATATCATTTATTGTGGTGCTGCGTTGACAGCATTGCTGCTGGGTGTCATGTACCGTCAGTTTATAGCTTTTGCCATGATGTGATTCGTGCTTTACATCTCGTTCGTATTATGAGAAAACTGTTAATCGTGATTGTGGAGACGCATCACTGCGAGAGCAGAGCTCGAATTCGCGATCGTTTGCTTGATTCGGGGCATATGTGCTGGTTTATGCAAAATGCGTATGCCTCGTCAATGTCACTAAACATCTTTCAGGAACAATGGCTTTTTTGAACGATTCGTCTGCTCCGTCGACGCTTGCGCTCGCAAGTTAATTGTAGCAAGTTGGCTGGTTATTCGGAAGCTTCAATCAATCGATCAATCAATCAATCAATCAATCAATCAATCAATCAATGAAACTTTATCTACATGAATAGATATATGCAATTACAGGGATTCTTTGGACCGATAGCCTATTTACTCTCAGCATGCAACTTACAAAACTTTCTAGATCACCTATTCAATTTTTTACTGTAGCAGATCCATTTCACCGTAATTGTAGTTTCACTTTGACGCCTACTTATTTATTTCTCTTTAAAGTAAATTGCTTTATTTTATAGGCTCACGTAATAGTTTGCTTTGGTGCAAATCAGCATTCGCTGTATTGATTGATATGTGGGGTTCAACGTCCCAAAACTACAATAGGCGCCGTAGTGGAGGGCTCCGGAAATTTTGACCACCCGGGGTTCTTTAACGTGCACCCGAATCGGAGCACACGGGCCTACAGCATTTTCACCTCCATTGAAAACGCAGCCGCCGCAGCCGGGATTCGATCCCGTGACCTACGTAACGGCAGCGCAGTACCTTAGCCACTAGACCACCGCGGCGGGGCATGCATTCGCTGTATGTAAAGTTACCATACGCAACAGGGAAAGCGTGCGGAACGTCTCGAGTATTCCCGTAATGTCTAACTTTTCTATTATTTTGTAATGTGATAAGTGAGACATGCAAAATAATTTTAAAATACATTTTAATGTCAGTGATTTAGTCGCATGTAGAGGATGGAACCTGTGCTTGAGCTTTGCTTTCGTTGCCCCAAATGAAGATTCTTTTTATTGTGCCTCAAAAGCATAGATTTCTGCTCTCACCTGCCTTATTGTTCTTCTCTTAAAGCTGCACTAAAGCACGAGATGTCGCATAGATCGCTGAATTTCACTCATCATTATTATCAGTCTACGTTTAGTCACCGCCAGACGAACGCCTTTCCCAATGATCTCCAATGTGCCATGTCTTGTACGAAATTATCCTGTTTTACGCATACAAGCTGCCTAATTTTGTCACTGCTGTATAGGCGTCCATACTAAAATAATTTTTTTTCTCTTTATGGAGGAAAGAAATTATCTCTCCTATCTGATATTGGCTTTGCTATTAGGATTTAAGACACAATTTACTTGTTTTACACGTCGTATAACTGCCGCCGCCGTAACATACACCTCATGTGGATTTATAGTGAGCTCTGTGTTTTATGTCGTCTTTAACCTTTATTGCTAATAGGTGCCCATTTGCACCTTACGGAATTAGCTTGCTTCGTTAAGTTATACGGCATTCGACGTTTTGAATGTATGTAGCCTCTTCATGTCCAATGGTACATATGATAGTCAAAGTGTTCAATGTTCCGCACGAAATTCGGTCTGACAGAGCTACCTCCAGCTCTGATCTAACTGCTTGGAGCCAAATGGCTGTGAATTATCTTTTAAGGCTTTGTCAAACGGCTGCCGTTGGATTTTGCTATCGCTAATGCATCCATCATGAAAATTAGTTAGAAATTACTATTACGAAACTGCCTTCCGTTAGCAATATGTTGTGTTGTGTGCACGAAGCACATGATTGGCTATGTGTTAACTTGCACGTGCTGTGGCGTAAATCTAGAAAAATCACAAAATGGGGACACGCATCTTGCCGTGTGCTCATTGTTTCTTTATGAAGTTTTACTTTTTAGCATAAAAATTAAAATCGCTTTTAAAATATCACAACAGTGAAGAGCGTGGGTTATTAGCTCGCGTAAGTGCATTGTTCTAACGTATTATTCTGTGTGACCGCGGTCGAGGTGGCACTTGCGGTGTCAATAATCTCAAGAAGTTCAGGGATATTGAACGCATGTATACATTACCAAATAAACAGGCAATTAAATAAAGTTGAATATATGATGTTTCGAAATTCTCAACGGGGGACGTTTGCAAGCGGTTCCCCACCCTCTAATCTTGAAAACAAATGACACCCCCCCCCCCCCCGACTTCACCCATTCCGCTGACGCTAGTGAACGCGTTTTGTAGAACTTCAATCAAGAGTGCACCACAAACTTGCCGTACATCTATACAGAAGCTGTACCGTTCCCGTACTTTTCACGTTATCTTCTTTCCGGATTTTGAGGGCTGCGTAAGAGGCACATCTCTTTCTCACCGAGTTGGCTTGATTAACCTTGGAGTGAGTCGCAACAAAACGGGGACTGGTACGTGAGTGGAGCAACCGGCCGCCGTCAGGAGCGGCTCAGACAATGCGCCAGATCATTAACTTTCAATGCGCGGCCTTGGCGTGATGAACAAAAGCGCAAGGCTGTTCAGGCGCTGGTTGCGTGGCGCTACTGCAGCGGAGGCGCGCACACGGAATAAAGAATGCAAGCGGCCGCCTCGCTCCTGTGCGCTGCTGCTGTTGCGCAATTTCGACGCTTCGGCGTTTTAAGGTGTTGCACGCGCGTTGCGGGGTGCACTGCACGACTCCTTTAGTGTTCGTGCTTTACTCCGCCGGGTTGAAATCCTACACGTGTAGCGTGCAACAAGACAGAATGAGTGTCGTTGTTCTCGGCGAGACTTCAGTTACATGCCGCCACATAAATACGTACGCAGCTGAACATGCATTGATGTGGCGCTGGAATCGTATACGTTAAGAGGATTTTGTGACCACTCTTAATGTTGAGCGTATCATTAGCGAACACGGCCAGACAATGGTGAAGTCAGCTTGTTTAGTACAATTTCTCGTTTGGAATTGCGCAGTGTGAGAAGATAGGCAATGTATGATATGGTTCAACGAATTACAAATTAACGAATTGAAAGGGTGTGTGAGTCTGACCTTCATCGTGTAATATTTGTAGAAAAGTGCAATAGAGCGGCGACGGAGCGTCGGAAATTCTAAGCTCCGAGTTTGTTTTTCACCAGGTGGCGTTACGGTCTAGTGTGACTTCAAAACGACAAAGGCGGTTCAAACAAGGAACACGGCGCACAAGCAAGAGCAATAATACTCACAGTCTGAATTCTTTATTCTCGTCATTTGTGCACCCATTCCCCGAGGGCTGCGTTATTTTCGGTGACTATGTGCACGCTCTGGTCGGCTTATAATGACTTCGACGCTTTAGAGTGCACTGCCCCGCAGAGTTTACTCTTCTTTGTCTAGTTTAAATTATCAATAATCGACGATGCTGTCGCTCCGTTGTTTCTTGTTTGTAAGCATCAATCCCACTCAACGGTAACCGCTCTAAGAAAGCATGTGCGTTCCTCAATTGAATAAACATTAGTAAATGTGAAAGGAAAATAAAAAGAATCCGCATCACAATTTTGTTTAAAAAATCTAGAATGCACCAAAATAGTTGATACTTAATAACTTTTATGCTAAACATGAATATGTTCTGAGTGTAATAGTAAGAAGCACACACCATAACTATAATATATATATATATATATATATATATATATATATAACAGAGAGAGAGAGAGAGATGTAACAGACGTGGTTGCATGGATCCACATATTTCATGAGAAGGAATTTTATTACCTATAAATATCTTTCAGCGGGCTTTAACATCCTAACTATTTTTTCCATCCTTGCTTCGCGTGCAGGGGATATGATGTTTCTTTCAAGAAAAACTGGCACACGTTTTGTATAGTGTGGTGCACGAATTAGACGGAAGAACAAAAAGTATCGTTCTGGGGAAATGCGCAATTTCGATTACTTACGGCACATTCGGGTGGTCATTTGCGAGCACTCTATTTTTGAAAGCGGGGAATCGAGCAGCTTTAAGGCTCCGCAACTAAAACAAGGAGGTATGCAGGTCATGTGTCTCCCTCTTGATTATGTATTTGCACGATTTTTTTTTATTTACAGCACTTGGTTGCCATTTTAAGTACTTTTTTAGAGCGCCCAGAACGCTCGAAAATGACCAGTGGAATGTACCGTTAGTTGGTGCACAATCAGCTGTGATAAATGAGATTACTTTCGACAAAGCGCGATGCTTTAACCCCTCGTGATGTTTCTCTCTTTGGGACTCCTCGCAGGTCGGTCTTTCCTGTTCGCCTCGGACCCGACGAACGGCACGTTCACGGGCATGGAGCCCAAGCGGCAACGCACGGCCTACACCCGGCACCAGATCCTCGAGCTCGAGAAGGAATTCCACTTCAACCGCTACCTGACGCGGCGGCGACGCATCGAGATCGCCCACTCGCTCTGCCTGTCCGAGCGCCAGATCAAGATCTGGTTCCAGAACAGGCGCATGAAGTGGAAGAAGGACAACAAACTGCCCAACACGAAGAACGTCAAGAAGAACAACCCGAACCGGGCAGCCCAGCAACAACAGCAGCAGCAGCCTTCGCAACAGCCACACCAGCAGAACACGTCCTCGCAGGAGCCGCACCCGCCGCCGCACCAGCAGCCGTCGCCGACGCTGCAGATGCCCAATCCTCTGGCGTTGGCGCCGCACCAGCACGCGCACCTGCTGAACAGTCACCAGCTGGGCCACCCGGCGCAGACGCACATCATGTCGCCGCTTCCGCCGCCTCCCACCGTGGACACGAAGGGGGACTACGGACTGACAGAACTGTGAACCGCGTGTTCGCTTAGTGCCGCGTGACGTGCTTGTGAGAGTGCCACTCGTCCTGCCCCTCTGCTCTTTCGTCTCCGCCATTCGCGGAGGGACTCCTACAGCAGGGGTGGAAGTGCAGTGACTTAAGTGCGCGCTAAAGCCGAACACTTGACTCTTAGTCGCGAGCCGAGACTGCTGCACCGAAGCAATCGACAAGACACAAAACAAGTTCCTCTCTCAGGAGAACCCGGACGCTCGTACTTCTATCTCAGTGTGTGTGCGTGTGTGGTGGTGGCACCGTAGGCGCATACGCTGTTGCTTGCTCTCTTCGCGAACGCGGCTGCTTGGTCACATGAAGTGCCCTACAGTGCCAGCAAAGAGAAGAACGGCTCGGCGGCGACTGGGCTACGGTGCCTCCCTTCCCCGGGTTCGTCGTGTGTGCGTGTGCGCGTGGACCACGTCTTTTCGACGAAGTTAGTGCAGGTGTGTCATGCCGTTTCCTTGTAAATACAACCCAGGTTTCACGAGACATCCGCGCCGTGTGGATTTTTGCAGTGCTGTGTGTGTGTAGCTGTCACCTTTTGCGAAGGAAAAAAAAAGAAACACAATAACTGGAAAACAGTCGAAGGAGACCGAGACGTGGTCTCGATGAATCCGGCCGAGTTAGCTTGCAACCGATACCGGAGCATCATAGGAAATGCCTTTCGTGATGTCCGAAGATTCCCGCCACAATGCCTGAGCTCTCATCGCTGAGGATTTTTCCCTCTCCTCCGCTAACAGAAAAAGCTCCTGTCGCTTCCATATCTGGGTGTATCTTTTGGATTATGTTAGCCATTTCGTGCAAATGAGGTTAGTAAAAGGTCGTCCATGGTATATCTTGGAACGGGCAGCTGCTCTTTCAGTTAAGCAACTGGTTTGATAGCTGATAGCTTTTGATTGAGAATGTACAGGTGTGGATAAATCAAAAGCGAACAAGACATTGCAGATTAGTTAAGGTTTCGCGCGCGGAAACTGCAGCACGACGCATCGGATTACTAATTATTTGGCAGGCAAAAATTACTTAGGCCACAAATCATGGTAACATTGAGCGTTCCAGCGGAAAGAAGAATATCGCTTTTTCGCTTACCCTAACTTGTTCGTGTTACGATAGTCTATGACTGTACATGTTTGAACAAGTGAAGTCTTTATCGCATGCTTCATGGATCCACACGTCAACTTTGTCATGAAGACTTTGCTGGACACATCGTGGGGGCACTTGTCGACGAAGCCTAGATGAAAGTAAGAGTTACAGCAAAGCCTTCATAGTTTTGAAAAATATTGCAAACCTCCCGGTACGCATGAATTCAAAAAAAAAAAAAAATCCTACCGACCACAAACAAGACTGCTCTTTGCTCGAAGTAACCTACCTGTGCGAAATCATGAGATTGCCCACTTGTTCGACTTCGCATTGTAATAAACGGCACCTTTTTGAAAGGTTTTAAGCTGTGAAAAGCAGCCACAAATGCAGACGACTCTTCTTTGACGCTTAAGTTCACTGAGCAGCACAGAACATCGTTTAAAACTCCATAACGAAGATGATATCCGTGGTAATATACATGAAAAAGCAGTTAGTTCTGTTCATCTGGGACCACACGTTGTGCACTTTCGCGTCCAACATGATGGGAGTGGACCATAGTGCAGTCCTCGTACAACGCACTGCCGCACCGAAACTACCTCACTGGAAGAAGTAATAAACTCGCGGCAGGTCGGAGGAGACGACAGGAGCTTTTGCAGCGCGCGTATACAAGGCCTTGCAATGAGATGTTTCTCGAAGGACAGCTACTTGATACTCAGGGGCATTTCTCCACACCAGCGATTGCTGTCACTGTGCTCCGGCTAAGCGCTGCACACTTCCCTGTAGAAGGTGCGAATACTTGCAGAAATACTCACAAAGACGGTAAAAAAAGAATGGAACGACGCGTCGAAGCAAAAAACACAGATTAAAACCGTTCAACAGCATTATAACGATCTCGCTCATTGCGCGAGCACAGTTCAAAGTGTTTTTAAAACCGCGATCTTCGTCCTGCTGGGAGATCGTCTTGTGACGTATACACCGTGGCCGTTTCTCTATGCGTCTGTTTGTGTGGCCGCGGTTCCGTGTCTTTCTTGGTATAGTTGAATTTCGTGCATTTTTTTTTTTTTGCCTTCAGTCCGGTGGTCGTGACGCGTCACAAGAACGCAGATGACAAGCGTTAGGGTCGATATTTAAATCAACAGTACAGTTGTTGTGCTCGTCTCTCTCATCCGGGTAGAGCCTCTGGTACCCAATATACGCAAGATCTAACGGATGTGCCAGTTGAGACGCTAAAGGAAGCAAATTAAAAGCGCGGTACACGATGTGCATAGTAGATATCTTTTGTACAGTTCTCTTCCTACTCCACGTGTTTTGCTCTAAGTTATAAATCCTATTGCGTGAGTACGATCACGAGCGAAAATACTTCAGCTGAAGCTGGAGGTTATTTCACACCGTCCTATAAGTTGTCCTGGTGGTTGGCATAATTTATACTCGCGTAAGTTCAGCTTGTGCTTCAGGTGTTGAAGAGATTCCATGCCTCCTTCGAGTGTCGTTCAGATCTGTGCGAGAAGAAAAGCAATGAAAGAAAGAGAGAGAAAGAAAACGATCAAGGAAAAGAACATTCAGTGATTTTCGTTGCGGTCTGTGATAGCTCCTGCATGCACCGTGTATACCTGGAAAATTCGATAATTCGGATAATTACAGAAAATAGTCAGGAAAGCAGCGTTGACTGCGAAGTACAACAGACGCGCTTTGAAATTTCGCCCTATAGATAAGCCACCAGCGGGAGATCTGTGATATTTTTGCATCGTGTTTATTGTTGTCTTGCTTTTCTCTTTTTTTTTCTCTCCCTTAGTGTCCACCGTTAGGCTTTAGGTGTTGTTCATTGTTCAATTTCGTCCGGTTCGCAAAAACTTTTTCTTAGGCTTATCACGATATGTCCGGGTGTGAAGTTTTCCTTGTAACTATTCCAACTTTAACGGCTCGTATCGTCAGTTTAGGGGAGATAAGTTTTGAGCAGCCATGTCTGCGCATCTTTACAACAGCGATCCGTACCCGTGTCACACTTAACGATGTCCCGCTTAAAGTGCTACATATAGCCAAGAATACAGACATTTTTTGTCTGGTTTCCTGGATATAGAGCATTCAACGATGACCTGAATAAAAATGTATACAGCGATGGGGAAAAAAGGCTCGCCTTATTACGTTCAGCTGCTTTCCAAACCTGTGTGTAACTACTTATCTTGGAAAGGTTTCGTACGGAATTGTTTTTTTTTTCTTTTGCTTAAGGGTTACTTTGCAGCCACATTGGGTTATGAGACAAACGAGGATTTGTGTTCGAAACAGCTATCACTTGTGCTAGGAGTGCTTAGTCTTAAACACGAACTTTTCAGACACTTCTTCCCATCAAGCTGCAAGTCACAATGAGGTCTCGCAAAGGAAACTGCTTTTGCGCATCTTTAAAAAGACTCTTGCACCTATATTTTCACACTTTCTGGCGAGCAAAGACTTGTTAGTTTGCAGCAGCTGAAGAAAGGCCTGCGCAGTCATTGCTAAATATTCTTTCTGTTACGTATGACCGTACTGTTTCGTAGTCTCTCAAAACAGAGTATTCTAGCAGAGCGTCATAATTTTATTGTCCCTTGCTGATGTCATCTGTGGTTGCGCAGATCTTGCTGTGTATATTCCGTTGAGGGAAGTAGTAGAAATAGAACGATAGTAACGCTACTGCCTAAATATTCTGATGATGATGATGAAGTCCGAGGCGTAGAGACACGGACCCACCTTCGTTAATAAAGCGAGTGGACTCGCCTGGCTGCTATCAGTGTCGATCAATTACAAACTGAATTACTTTTCTCTTATACTGCGCTACTGAATTGGCCCTTCGTGCAGCTGCATGTATACGCATTTGAACGTTACTTTCAACACATTTTTACCAGGTGACCTTGTAGTTTCCACTCAGTGGTTGCATCTAAAACTCATCATAACTGCAGAATACTGCAGCAATCTAGGTCGTATTTCATAAATGCAAGCATTCACTTGGCTAATAGCGTGACAAGATTGGCTGAAATCAACCCCCCGGTGGTCGAAATTTCCGGAGCACTCCACTATATACGGCGTCTCTCATAATCATATGGTGCTTTTGGGTCGTTGTACCTCGCCTATCAATCAAGACGTTGGACGTTCACCGGATGGACACTTGAAGGCTTCGAATGGGCCGCAGTTATCGCTCCCTTTCGTTTAGTCGTTATGGGGATGGACTGCGTGGCGCGGGTTTCACGATTACAAGCTTCTTCGTTCTATTTGAACCTTACTTTCCGGAGCATTTCACAATTCTTGCGTATTGCGTGTAGGTATGCAACACATTTCGATTACATTGGCCCAGGGCATGAAAATTGTAAATACTTCAATTTACTTACCTTGAAGCAACAGTCACGAAACGTGCAATTGGGTATGCACTAAATTTATACGTTACGGTCGCAATTAAATTGATTAAGTGCGCTGATGAACAAATTCTGTGAGCATGCCGTGTTTTTGATGCTAAAGCAATGCTAATGTTATTCAACGTAGTGGCAGTGTGGTCTTATGTATTCCGGGATGTCTTTCAGCAAGACACTTTCTTGCGCTGGCATAGCAAAGATCACTTTCTTGCGCAAAAAGTACTGCAGGCTTACTGTACTGCTTAATTTACAACCTCACCTTGACGTGAAATTTTGCACACTTTCGCAAGAGATGAAAATGAGGCCCCCCCAAAGTTTCCGCGCTAGCCTCATTTGTGATTCCCTGATGTCTGGTTACGCTCTATTTCAGAACTGACATGTCACTTGTGGCATCCCGCCAGAGATGACATCGAATCCTTATGGACGTGTTTGCTCTGTCTTCTGTTTTGAAACAATTCCAACTAAACTTATAGGATGCGCATTCCCGCTCCCTCCGTGTAATGTAAACAGCCGCGGCTCACAAAGCGCCATCTGGGCCGGCGTTCACAAAGCACTCGCAAGGCGAGAGCTGCTATTCGTAGTCAAGGCGGCCGTCCAATGACGAATCGCGTGTCAAAACTATGTGTCGCGCGGAGTGGGCAGTGATCTATAAAACGTCGAATTGTTTGTTGCAAGACTGCCATGATTACGGTACGGACGCATAAGCGAAAACTGTCCCCTGCGAACGTACTTAAGTGTTTGAGTCACAATATAATTCTGTTGCCTGATTACAACAAAACGAGCATCGTTATTCGTGAACAGGTATAGACTGCAAGTATATGTCTGACGAAAGGTGAAAAGCACTAATGATGAAATCAATGCTTGGACGCGTGTGACGTCACGTCATGAATGTATAGCGCCGTTGGGGTGACACGGCACGCACGGTCGCCTATATTCAACGGCCGCCATGCCAAGCACAGTGATTTGGATGTGGATTGTATATTTTGTCTGGCTGGACATTTTTGTAACGTTCTTCGAGTGAATGGAAACGAAT